CGCACAGCTAAGCTGGTCGCTCTTCAGCTCCACTTCCTGAATCAGGGATCAGACCTGCGCATCATCAACCTGCGACCTGCTGAGCTGCTGAGCGCCGCCATGGCGCTGCCGCGGTGCTACCAGGTGGGTTCCTGTTGTCCTTCCTTCCACAAACCTCCACCTGTCTGAAGCAGCAACTCCATCACTTCTTGAAGCTGATTGGTTGGAAGCAGGGCGCTTCAAATTTAAAGACTTGAAGAAAAGTTCAAGCTGTTGATTTGTTCTCCACATGTGATCCCGGGACTCGGGAGGTGGTTCTAATGTTGCGTACGATGGGCGGAGCCGCCATGACGGTGTTTCCTGTGTCTCAGGTGTTCGTGGTGTCGGAGGCGTACGGCTACAGTCCGGACTGGGCGGAGATTCTGTACCAGAAGGTCGTCCTGAACGGAGACTTCGGTTACCTGGAAGAGCTCAAACGCCACCGCCCGCTCACCTCCACCCTGTTTGAGGACATTTTCAAAAAGTAAGACTCCTACCACAGAAAAACGACCTGACAACAGCCAAAATTTGACGTGGACTGACCTGCAGTGTGTGTGTTTCAGGCTGGACGGCGCTCCCGGCAGCGTCACCTCCAACGTCAAGCGCCTGCTGACTTACTGCGACGACGTGTACAGCCGCTACAGGCTGGCGTACCAGCAGAACCTGCACGACATCACCAAGATGCTGCTGCAGGACGCCAAGACGTCGAGCTACCTGAGCGACAGGCTGGGCAGCTGATCGTTGCCTGGCCGCAGCATCGTCGTGATCAATAACCGCCAACGACAGGAAAGACTGTGGATGTACAGGATGTGTTAGTAGAAAAATGCCGTGTGTCCTTCTCACCTGATGGATGATTTCTTTCTCACTGGGTGACCAGGATTTAGTTTCCTGGCTCATCGGTGGTTAAATAAGCACAAAGTCTTTGTAGAAACACATGAACGTGAACATTAAACATGCTCTTTCAACTACTTTGGGTGTTTCCTGTAACTCCAGCGCGTCCGTGTTCAGTAAGATCAGATAAATCCTCGACTTTCACTCAGACATCTTTCACTACACTTAACTAAAACTGCTCCAGCAGCATAAACGCAGTGCATTTCATTACAGCCTCCTCTGCCACCATACACCTGTCAGGCCACGCCCCTAATAATGCAAACCTTCAGCATGAACACCATTCAGACCGCTGACTCACCACCGCACAGTTATGAAGAGAGGAGCTACCCACAGAGGCCAGAGCTGTCTCGACCAGGGGCCTGGCTCGCTGCTGGAGCCCCTAGTGGACATTAGAGGAACTGCAGCTTTTAGCACTTTAGCATTGGCTTCATTTTTCAGTTCTGGAAACTGAGTGAATAACTTCAAAAAGGAGACATGCATGACATCTCACAGTCCCCACTGCATACCATGTCTCTGTAGAGGAACAGAAAATAGAGGTGGTGCACAGGTGAGGCCAGGTGGAGTAAGGCCCAGAGTCACAGGGATGTTAAATGGGTGTGAAATGAGAAAAGTCTGGAACCCAGCTGGCTCCACGGCAGTGAAACAGCCTGAAATTTCAGGAGCCTGCAGCTCCTCGCAAACGGTCGTGAGAGGCAGTTCTCTCTCCCTCCACTAGGTGGCAGTCCAGGCCTGTGTAATGATCAGCTGTTTCAGCTCCTCGTGTCATTTCCTTTGAATGTGTTACAGCATTTGTGCTCATCTCTGCTGCAGGCAGAGCTGGTAATAAGCTGCAGAGTGCACCGAGCCTGCTGAGCTGAGGATGCTGGGATTAAAAACATCTGCGCAAAACTCAAATATTACCAGAAATATTACCAATAATCAGTGTTTCAGTGTCTTACTGTTAACTGGCTGCATACAGCTTGATCCAGGGGATTTACCTAGACCAATGATAACCTCTCATATCTTCACAGTCTGCCCAGCTGGGTGATTATTTAAAGAGGAATGGGTTTCTTTCATTTAAAGTTCAGAAACAGCAGCAGAGAAGTTCATTACTGACAGGAGAGTCACCTCTGCACCGAGCGAAGCCCCGACACGCGGATCAAAACAAAGATTACAACACGGAGCTGGTGTTAAAGGGAACGAAAACTGAAGGCTCTGCCTCCCATTCTACTTTTAAATACTCTGGGAACAACAAGTAGGCCTGCAGAGCAAGAGCGAAGTGCTCTAATAGGGTGATATGGTACTACAAGGTCATTGAGATAAGATGGGGCCTGATTATTTAAGACCTTGTATGTGAGGAGCAGGATTTTGAATTCTGGATTTAACAGGAAGCCAATGAATGACATCCTGATAATAATGAATTATAGTATTGGGGGAAACATGTATAATAAAAAGTCCCATCACAGAGCCCTGAGGAATGACTAAGTCTTTGTCTCCATGCGTAAAGCTTCTCGTTGTGTGACAGCAGCGATGGATCTGTCAGGGCTGACTAAACTCAAACAGACTCAGGATAATCATCCTGGCCACAGTTTGGCTTTAGTTTGGCAGACGTCGCTCTTCTCTCTGTGCCAGCCGCTGCCTTTAATGGAGAGAGTCATTAAGAAAGCGAGCTAATTATTCAGCCCTCATTAGGAAATTAATCAGGAGTTTGTATCACGCTCAGCTGAGCGGAGAAACGCCTTCACGCTGGGGACTCGACTCTTTATTCAGCGTTTCCATGACAGTAAATAAAATGTTGACATGCTGAAATTTAAAATGACTTTTAATAAAAGGCAGTTCGTGTGCAGTACCGCTAGCAGCCACTAGATGCTGGCTGTAAAACCCAGGGTTTAAATATGTTTGAGGTCCTTCACACGTGTCCATGTGTGAGGAGTGTAATCTTTAATGCCGTGCAGTGCAGACAAAGGACACCTTGTGCTTACATGTGAGAAGCTGGCAGGATGTAGTTGAGGCTCCCGCACCACCGTCAGTCCTCATGGAAGATCTTAACATCCTCCAGCTGTCAAAGGTTACGGTTCAGTTAGACTAGATGAGAAGTAAAAATCATTGCATTGAATTTATTTTACTGGCGGTTGTTCAGAAGTTCAGCATGCAACACCGCCAGCCTGTGGATGTCACCTTTGTGGGAGTCCGTCTGCACAGATGTGTGCAGAACCTGTCTTTGCAACAGAGGCTGAACTGGTTGGCAGCTGGTTTCTAGTGATTTTCCTATTTAAAAGCAGATTTCTAATCTAGGTCTGAGCAGTTAATGTGAATCTCCGTATAAAAGGACAACAACAGATTTGAGATTGTTTGCTTATTCATCACAGATAATTACTGTATTATCACAAAGAGATTTCATATGAAGCTGAAAGCAGACGGGTGTGTTGTTGCCAGAGCTGCAGCTGACTGTGAGTGGTTGCAGACGAGTCTTTGAGGGAACCATTTCCAAGGCAACGAGACCCCAAGTTCCCTGCACACAGCCGCAATAATAATCTTTATTTACAGCAGGGTCGTCAGCCACCGCGGGCTGCTTGAATCACATCCATAATTTTAGCTCCTCCCCTTTTAGGTCAAGATTTGAACACCAGTTTGGTGACGCTGCCGAGTACCTGAAAGGACCAGGCTCTTTATGACATCACACAGATCCAAAAGAGAAAAACTGTGAGAAAGTGAGGGTCTGCAGCTTTGGTTCTGACTTTGAGTACTTGTACGTAGCCTGATGCACTTATTTGAAACTTTCAAGATATTTAAGCTGAGCATCGTCCACAGGAACAGGATCTATGACAGGAAGTAAAGGACAGCGTGTTCTTTTCTGCAACATATTTGAACTCGGCTGTGACTTTGTTCCTCCAGGCGTCTCTTTAAGCGTCTCTCAGTTTTCATGTCTGTGATGGCGCTGCAGTCAGAAGTGTGAATGGACTCTGCAGGTGACCTCGGGCTGTCAGTCCCTGAGACTTGGTTTCAGTGAGGTGTGACAGCTGAGCGATGAAGAGTCCAGATCACGGCTGGGAGGTGTCGCTGCACCGTTCAGCCACAACACTGAATGTTATTTATTATGTGCTGATTTGAGGAGAAGTAGCCATCGTCCCTCATTGTTCCATCGCTGAGTGTAACGTCCACTCCCTGACAGCAAACGGAGCAGACAGTTGGTGTTTTCAGGTTTGAAAGCTTCACCTTTACTCCTCCAAACATGCATCTTGTCTCTGGTGTTCCTGCAGTTTCCTGTTCATGGCGAGCTTGATCCTGGTTGGTTCCTGAACATCATAACTGCTTTCCTCTCATTTCACAGTGACGGGGCTGGACTTCTTCCAGACCTCGGCAAAGGGACGCGACATCAGAAGAACCTGTAGTTGTGTAAATCTGCACTTCCCCTTCACTGCGTTGGTTGGACTTTGTGCCGGGCGATCCAACGAGTGCTGTCACACAAATGAATTGTTATTAAAAGATTTGAGTGAGTGTAGATGAAGCCGTGTGATGCTTTTGTGTGGACAAAAGTCCAAACACACATCAGAACTGGTTTTGGTGTGGACGACACAGCTTCAGGGTGTCTTTGAATGTGGTCCATCCCAGGAAACCAAGCAATTTAAATGAAGTCCACCAGTTTTGCCAAGAGGAGCAGTCAGACATCAGCCTGAGTTCATGTTCATCGCTGCGACAGCACTGTGCTCGAGGTGCAGCCTGCTCAGAGACATTTCTACAAATATGAACCATATATGTGAGCCTGCATCCACCCTGGGAAAACAACAGTGCAAAGACATGATTAAAAGCCCAACATTATCAGCATGCATGCCTGAGATGAGGGGATGGAAACTTCTGGCCACAACTGTATCTCCAATCGATGACATCATACAGATCCCAGATAACAAAAAGAAAAAAAACACTACAAACTCTTAAACATCCAGCAGTGGATGAAGGTGTGTTGTTCTGTAAAGCTCAGTTTTATGACTGTTTCTACGTTTCCGTCCTCACATGTGCGCACACACACTCACAGACCTCTCTCTCTCTCCTCGGTGTCTCCGGCTGCTGAATCTACTCCTTTGGATGCTTTTTGGGGGGAGGAGCAACCCCGTCTCCTCTCAGAGCGAACCCTCTGTTGATTCTCGTTCTCTCCGTGTTTGCCGTCGGTTCAGGAGGAACTCCGCTCAGCTTCTCTGAGACTCGCTGCTGATGATGGACGCTCGCATCTTCAACCCGCTCATCCTGACGCTGTGCAGCTTCATCCACGGTAGGCACGCACACACACACACACACACACACACACACACACACACACACGCTCTGACACACACACACACACACACAGGTCGTCTATGGCTGTGAGGACACCTATCTGTATTAAGAATTGTAACCTGTGGACTAAAACCAGCTCTCCAGCTTTAAACTGCATCTTGATGCACATGCAGATTTTTCAAAGATGCGTTTTTCAAACAGAAAGTGAATAAGAAGTTGATTTGATTAGAATAAACGTTTAACAACAAATGCTGTGATCAGATTTTGCTTCTGTCACATTTTATGTCTTTGGAGTGAATCAAAAACAGAACTTCAATCTGCAGATTAAATAAGAAGTTTGATTCTGTGCGTGCGGCGTCCTGCTGTTTGCTGAGGGAGAATCAGTGGGAGGTGATCCTCGTGCAGTCCAGGTGTAAGGGAGGAAAAAGGAAGAAGAAGAATTTTGCACCTGTGCATTAACATTTCCACGGGTGGGTGTGTCAAACATGCAACCCGCGGGCCAGAACCAGGCCGTCAAAGGGTCCAGTCTGGGCCACCGCGAGTCTTTGGGAACATTTCACAGGAGAAGGGCGCAAAGCTGGACCTCTCACTGTATCTTCATCAGATTTATGCTCCTCTTCCTGACACCATCCACGCTCAGCCACGTGTCACAGTACAGTGCAGCAGAGTTTTCCTGGGTTCACACAAGAAGAAACAGTAGATTTTCTGCGATGCTTGTGGGTTGTGTTTAGTCACATTCATTTGAGTCGGCTGTGTTTCCGCTCCCCTCGTCTCCTCTCTGTGGATTTAGTGTGGGAGTTTTCTGTCAGTCGCTGTCGGGTCTTCTGTTGTGTTTGTTTCCCAGCGTACGTGTTTCCTGTGTTCAGGTCTTTTTCATGTTCTTTGTCCTGTTTAGTATCTATTTTCTCCCAGTTTCGTTCCAGTTCAGTTTAGCTTTAGTAGTCTTTGTTTGTACCTTCCCCCAGCCTAATAAACGGCTCGCCTGTTGTTAAACCCCGCCCCCGTCTCGAGTGTCGCTGCAATCTTTTTTCTTATCAGACATCTCAAGGATTAAATGTGCAGTTAAACTTTTATGCACTCAGAGTAAGGATGTTTTGTTTTTTACTGGGTTATTAGCAGTGTTGGTCAAGTTACTTGAAAAAAGTAATCAGTAACTAATTACTGATTACTTCCTCAAAAAAGTAATCCCGTTACTTTACTGATTACTTATTTTCAAAAGTAATTAATTACTTAGTTACTTTTTAAAAACACGATTTACAACCTGAAGAGGTG